TGGTGGTGGTGGTGGTGGTGGTGGTGGTGGTGGTGGTGGTGGTGGTGGTGGTGGTGGTGGTGGTGGTGGTGGTGGTCCATACAGAGCGGTGAATGATCAGGCTGTCCCATTGACTGTCGGGCACGCCGTGTAAAGGGGGACGTTTTTGTGAGGCTGCGACGACTGAGTTATTGGACGTGAATCAACACGTCATTGTTTGAGCCCAAAATGAGAAGATGGGATTGCTATAAAACATTCCACCTCACCAACTGGAATCTGCATCGCAGGCATGTTGGTGTTTTGCCTCATTTTCACCCATCAACTAAGCACACATCCTCATTTAGCGAATTATCTGGTTTTTCAACTGCCACTTCACACTTTTCTCAAGTTGAAGACGCGACTTATTAACGTGACCCGTGAAATAACGCGTGGTATTGTCGCGAATCCAATCGTGACCTCGGTTCTGATCCGTCACTACAAGGAGTGGCAAGTGGAACCGGAGGATACCGTGAGGGATTTGGCCAGTCTCCTCGCTCAACTACGCCACATCCTCCGACAGGTCCTGCTCATCACCCCACGAGAGACGGCTCTGCGGAGTGACTACATAGAAAAAACAGAGAGACGTACCAAAAAGGATGCCAGAACGATCCAGCAACTGCTTCAACGCCTCAACGACATGAATCAGGCGTTCAAGAAAGTGGTGAGTTTTAGGGAATAACGTAAGGACTTCTTGTTCTCACCATCAAAGTGTAAAACTGCCTTTTAATCAGATTTTTGACATTGGTTTGTAGTGGCTAGTGTCAAGCATTGCCTTACAACCCTCTAGTTAACAACCCGTAACAACCCTAAAATGGAGTGAAGAGAGGTGACAGAGAACACGACCATTTATTAGCGTCAAGCCAGCCAAGTGTGTGTCTTAGTGTGTGGATGAGTGAACGGATGAAAGGAATCTGATAACAGTAACCAATGAAAAGGGGATGAGTCATTGTCTCCGTGAGGTCAGTAAGCAGGGTTCACTCAGGCGCGATCGCTGTTAGTCCGCTACAGGTTGTTCTCATTTATAGCCAATCAGATGATCGTTTTACTTTGCAAGATTAGTGTGGACGACTTAGCGCGAACATTTCACTCAAATAGCCAATGAAATGGGTGGAAATTAACCATTGGGAAGACGGCAGGAAAATGGCGCGCGGTCAGTTTAAAGTGGTATTTATCGCTGTTTGATCTTAAAGTGACTGAATGCAAACTATGAAATATGCATTCACAATTACAAAATATAGTTCGAACTTCAGAAAACTGATTTATTGAACAGGCATAACCTGTGAATCAACAATCGTTTGACTCAATTACATCCTATTGGCGAATATGCTTGTTTTCAAGTAACAAATCACATTCCGACAATGAGAAATTTCACCAAATGCAAAAGCTAAACTACAACAATCAACTCTGAGATCGCAAATGTTTATTTCAAGATAAGGAGAATGAGATCAGAAGCTGTCAAGTGCAAACCTTACACCAAAAGACCGTAATCAATTGATAATGGTTTGACAAGTTTGAATTCCATCGAAATGAAGGAGGTGGCTGTCGGTGTGTGTGTGGAACTGTTTTCCTATTTGTGGATGTTTTAGTCAGAGAAGAAAATTCTGGAGATTGAAGAACTCAACGCCAAGATGCTCGCAGTTGAGCAGATAACCAGTGAGACCATCTCCAGAATGCGAACGAAATTCGAAGAGGAGCAAGTAGAAGCTCGGAAGAGGCACAAGCGTAAGTTGTAACCATTACTCCCACTCTCTCTCTATCTTTCTCCACTGCCTTAATCAATAGCATCACTCACTCCGGAAATTGTCCGGAAACCCAGCATCCGAAGATGGGTCCCCATGTCACTGATCAACAACGGATCCGATAATGACCCTGAGACGTCGAACCCAAAAAGAAAGCAATCGTCCATTTGTACATCACTTGGTTATGACAGTCGTCCTGATAAAGGAAGCTGTTCACATGGGACTTGCGTGAACGAACCTGAGAAATTTATTCTTCCGGACATGGGTTTCAAGATGGGAACGAGTCACTGACCAACGGTGGATCTTGAGCAAATCTTGAGACGTCGCCCACTTGGCAAATCACTTGAGTGCGGTACTCTTAAATAGTACACTTAAAGTTCCGTGGGCCAATCGGAAGAAGGAGGGACATATGAATTCAAAATTTGGTGTGCATGAAAAACATTTGGTGGCAAACACTATAAAATCGTAGAAATCTTGATGGTTTTGGTCTTGGCGATGCTAAATCATTAACACCTGACCTCTAGCAAAGTGGATTGACTAGATGGCTTTCGATCCATGAAAACCTGCGACATCTGTTGGGCATATCTTTGAGATTCGTGGATCTGCCGTGTCCATGAATCTTGATTGACGTGATTTGGCAAAACCATGCATGTGATTGAATTCTGACCTGAAGTAAATGCGGTTAGGCGTGAGTTTGTGTTTACTTGTCCTCAAAACTGCGCATCAAATTCAACATTTTGTAGTGTAGTAAGATGTCACCTTGGAATAACAAACGCAGAGATCTACAACAGTTCAAGTCGATTACTTTTGATGTCCTGAAGAACCTTAACACATTCAGATTGCGCTGTCACCAGGTGGCGAACCAATAGAATTAAGGCGGTCAGTGTGAACACGCAAAGTTGTGTGCATGCGAATTTCCTCTCTGGTTGCCTTGTAACCTCTAGAGGCCATGGCGATTCTGACTGAGGAAGTGGAGGCAACACGGTTGATGTACGAGGAAGAGAAGAAATCCATGCGAAAACGCGAAACGGCTATTCGACAGCAGAAGTGGCGACTGGAATACCAACTTGAGGGTCATGTGAATAAGATGGACCAGAAATTGTACGAACTCCAGGTGAGTTTTTTTACAGGTGCATGGTTGCAAGCATTAAGATCACATGTCACACGAAGTACTGCTTATTTCTACAGGCGAAGTACGAAGAGACGATGAATCAATACGTCTTTGAATCTAAGGCCTACGAAATGCTGACGAAAAAATTCGAGGTATGTTCTTGGAGCGAGCTCCACTGAACATGGGGAAACCCGACATTCGCAATTTAAACTACTTTGTGCTGTTGGCTATTAAGTAGACATTTACTTGTACTTCTCGTTCAAATACCCAGCCTTTAAAAGTGGAGTACGACGAGATAATGGAAGAGGCCGCGAGGCAGGAGGAGGCGAGGCTACAGGAACTACGCGAAAAAGAGGAGATGATCAGATCAGCGACATTCATTACTTCGCTCTACAGATCATTCAAGGCGCGCCAACGCATTAGGGCAGAAAGGAGGAGGTGGAAGAAGGGAAGGTTTTGACCACTAACGTAATCTAATTTGGTGTTCTAGTTCCCTAATCAACTGAGATTGTTCCAGTTGAGTTTATTGGTTAATTTTTAAGGAATATATACATTTGTATACATGCAAAATTTTTAATTTTTGGCGAGATCTATGTGATCTTTTTCTAGTTTAAAATTTACCTAAGCAAAATCTGAATCGTAGTCTTGTTGTCGTTTAATGAGATTTTAAAACAGATGAGGTGTTCTAAAACAAAACAAGAAAAAGAATTTTGGGTTTTATTGCTGGTCCAATCCAATTAAAATAAAAAAATCATGTTGATAATATGGTTTGAGCTCAAATTAAGGCATCGAAGCCTAGCCAATGAAATTAAATTTGGACTGAAGGTCATGCATTCTACGACAAATGAAAGCACAGGCAACCTTAGTGTGGAGTACCCGAGTCCTAGTATAAAGAAGACTGGCACAATAGATCAAGCTTCATTGACCAGTCATAATCCAGAACCGCACGTCAGGCGCAGTCCCTCCGAGTCCATCAAGCTGGCTGCGCCGCCCTTTATATACCACTTCTCAAACGTGTCTGTCTCTGGTTGGCTGCCTATCATCCTCGCATGCCAGAGCGACAGAGGATTGGCTGAGGCCAGAGTGGTCCAATATGTCTGCGCCCATGTACGTCGTTGCTGTAGAATACCCGAGCCCTAATAGGTAAATGACTGGTACAACAGAACAGGCTTTATTGACCAATCAGAAGCCAGAGCCACGAGTCGGGCGCCTTCCATCCGAGTCCACACGCTGGCCACGCCGCTCATTACATACTGTACCTCATTCGTGTCCTTCTCTGGTTGTCTGCTTATCTTCCT